CTCTTTAAACGAAACCAGGACACTAACGCGCCGAACGTCATCAGAGGCGCAAAACCGGTCGCCGCCGGTCACCAAAACCGTCGCAAAAAACTACGCCACAAGAAGTGCGGAGGCTAAGGCCATTGTAGTTAGGGCAAAAACCCTCTTGACCCAGTCAAGGAATATCCGCGGCGACATAAAGGTAGACGTGACGGCTGCGATCGGCCGATTATACGAGCTGGTAAAGGAGGGGGATAGAAGTGAGAAGGAACCAGTGGAAGCAAGAATGAGACCACGTAACGAGCCGACCGAAATCATAGACTCCATTTCGGAGACCGTCTCCTCCAACAACGAACTCCTACAAAAAATGCAAGAAAACCTCGAGCAAAGGCTCAAGAAACTAGAGGTAAACCTTGTAGAGAGGATAGAGGAGGGAGTAGAGGTATCAATTACGACCACTAAAATGGAAACGATGGAAACTTGCAGAACTTTAACACAGGTCGTAAATGAGAGTGCAGCACAGGTCGAGAGCCTCGTCAGAGGAAAAATCGAGGTCCTGAGTTCCCGCATCACATCCGCGGGCGAGGACGGGGGAATTGTGGGGGAGTTGCGCGAAATAAAAACCGCAGTGGAGAGCCTTCAAATACGGGACATCGCGGCTGGAGTCTCTCCCTCCTACGCAGATGCGGTACGGCAGCAACCAAAAACACCGTGGGAGCACAAGCCGTCGCACTCCCTCATAATCTCCTCAACCGACACTATGGACACTTCGGGCGAGGTGGTCCAGCACATCAGGGGGGCGTTGGACGCCAAGAGGAGCGGTGTTCGGGTGGAGAAACTGAGGAAGATCCGCGACGGGAAGGTCATCCTCAGTTGCTCCACAAAGGCGGAATTAGATAAAGTGGAGGAGCACCTCAAGAAAAGCGCCAATATCGCCTACGAGGAGGCAAAGAACAAGAGCCCGTTGGTGGTCCTAAAAAACCTATTGTCATATAACACCAACGAGGAGGTGAAGGCTGCTTTATTAAAGCAGAACGACAAAGCATTGGGGGACCTGGCGACCGACATCAGCAACGCTGAGGTCTTATACAGGCGCAGGGCCCGAAACCTACATGAGTGCCACATGGTGCTCAGGGTAACTCCCGCACTTTACCAGAGGCTGGTGTCGGTCGGCAGAATCTACATCGACCTGCAGCGCGTCCGGGTAGAGGACCAAACACCACTAGTGCAGTGCACCAAATGCCTCGCCTATGGGCACGGACGCAAACTCTGCACGGAGACAATGGACCTCTGCAACCATTGCGGAGGCCCCCATAAGAAAGCCGATTGTGAGCAATTTTTAGCGGCCCAGCCACCAACCTGCAAGAACTGTGCGAAGGCGAAGTTGGGTGATACCGCCCATGGCGTTTATAGCGACCAATGCCCCGTCCGCAAAAAGTGGGACGCGCTGGCGAGGACCGCCGTGGCTTATTGCTGAGGTCGCCGCGGGCGCACAAAGGCAAGATAACAACATCGAACTGGGCACCTCAGAGTATCATCAGCATCTCAAATTAGGGCACATTTTAGGACTCAGGCACAAAATTTCTAAACAGACAATTGGAACTGCGGTTCGGACCAATTGGCCTTATTTTCCTTTGAAAATAAGTCAATTAAAGTGTGGACTGGTCAGTATCAACTCTGTGAAAATACGTAGATATAAATTGTATTTAAATAGATAAAATAATTATGCTTAATTTATATTTTGTACAATATAAAAATAAGCATAGCAAATTTAGTGTAGAAATAGTAAGTTCCTTAACAGTAAGATTAGTTAAATTTAGAGTCAAACCAAATTAGTCATGAAATAAAATATTAGTCTTTAAAAATAGTAAAAAATGTATAAGTCCCAATATATTTGTAAGTAAAATTAGCTATTATATGTTGTAAAGCACTTTGGAAAAAGGAAAATTGTAAAGCAAACTTGCCTACTTAACTTGCCTTGCCTGCCTTGCCTAGCCATCAATGTACACTGTAAAGTAACAACAAATGTAAATAATCATCAAAAACTACCTAAGGTCTCCGATTATGTTGGAGGAGAAACAGACTGTAATATTAAAAAAAAAAAAAAAAAAAAAAAAAAAAAACCTAACCTAACCTAACCTCCTCGTAAAATTCAAGAAGCGCACGAGGAACCCTAAGGCGACACACATAATCCTCCAAGTGCGGCCAAGCGTATGGCGGAGGGTGACGGAGGCTGGGGCCCTCTACTTGGACCTTCAAAGGGTCAGGGCGGAGGACCAGTCCCCGCTAATCCAATGTACGCGGTGCCTAGGGTTCGGACACGGCCGTAAATTTTGTACTGAGAGTGTGGACAGATGCAGCCACTGCGGAGGACCGCACCTGCGCGAGAAGTGCGCAGATTTTATTGCAGGTAACGAACCGCGATGCTGCAACTGCTCACACTCTGGGCTGCATAAGACTGATCATAATGCCTTTGGCGCCGACTGCCCTGTGCGAAGAAAATGGGATTACCTGGCCCGTGCAAACACCAGCTATGCCTGACCCACACGCAGGAGATCACAAAACACTTACATACACTCATAATTACTCACGGAAACACAAATACGACACGCACAAACACGAGACACAAAACAACACGAACACAAACGAATACTTAGAATGTATATTAAATATACAGGACAGTATTAGCACACGAACACAGGAACAGAAACACGACACAAACAAACATGTAACACACGACAACACGAACACCTGATATACATAACGTATATTGAGTATACATAAATATATCAGCACAATAACACTTACATGAATCACAAACAGTTACACAGGACAAAAATAGAGTCAAGTATGAAATAAAAAACTAGCGAAAGAATTGGTAATAAATATGTATAAATATAGTATATATATGTTATTGCCTAAATAGAAATGGTTTCCAAAATAATATAGACAATTTGTATGGAGTCAGACAACACAATAAATTACTTACAAATCCTGCGGTGTGAACAAGAGATATAGAAATAGATTAGACTAATAAGTTGCAAAAAAGTGTTAGATAGAAGTACTTGCTGTTATACAATACATATGTAAAAAGATAATAGATATATACAAGATACATAATAAATAAAAATATGTTAAGCCAGATATAAAAAAAAAAAAAAAAAAAAAAAAAAAAAAAAAAAAAAAAACAGTATACTTACACAGAATTACAGATGTAAGAATAGACCAAAAAATATAAAACCAGAATAGAATTAAGAAATGGCAAAGACGAAAGAATGTTAAACATTAGATGTAATATAGAAGTATAGTATGAATAGAAGATGTATATATGTATATAGCTGTAAGACTATATACCTATGAAGTAAATAAACTGAACTTAAAAATGTAAGCAGTGTAAGATTAGAGTAGCGGGTATCCCAGCAAGGGATAGGGTGAATGAATGAATTGCAGCAGTGTAATCGCATAGATACCTAAGGGCCTGACGTTTACATGGTCGGGGAAAAGCGAATAAAAAAAAAAAAAAAAAAAAAAAAAAAAAAAAAAAAAAAAAAAAAAAAAAAAAAAAAAACCTAACCTCCTCACCTTACCTCACCCCTCCTCCCCTTACCTAGTCCCTGGGGCACTCAGACCTCCCGTGTTTAGACCTGTAAAGGGGACATTTTATTTTATTTCACCGTCCGGGAATCGAACCCCTTACAGACGAAGCCTACAATTAAAATATTTTATTTATATTAAAAATTGAGTGAAGCTACTTCGTCTTGTGTTTGCTAGTGAGGTGGAGAAGCAGTACCCCAAGAACAAAGGGCTATCTCCGGAACGGCTCCACCTGGAGTCGCCCCAGTGGTGGCAACGGGTAGGTCCCGTTACAGGGCAGCCTCTCGACACCTCAACTGCTCAATTTGGGCCACAGGGGACGAAGTCTACACACTTTTAGTGATTTGGTCGAGTTTCGGTTTCGAATTCGAAACCAGAATCGACCCCTCCCAAAAATTGGTGTAGGGCTGATTTTCCGGTCTGGAAAGTGTAGACTTGGCCTAAAAATGCTGATCCAGCCAATCACACCTCCCTAGGTCCCCGCTTTCCGGAGTTATTGGCCACCAAAGTTTTTGTTTTTAACTTCCGGTGTGATTTTTAAGAACAAATGTTTGTATACCTTTTTCAGGTGCTGCTAACTTTTTAGTCTTTAGTCCGATTTTAACGGGAGAGGTGTCGAAAGTTGCAAGAATTCTTGCTCTATCTTGTACACACACTATTGTTTTGCGCGGGGGTGGTTTTCACCCCCAAAAAACACTTCGACTAAAAGTATAAAAAAGCGCTGTTTGTTTCAAAATGTATTCTATGATAGCTCCTCAACCACTTATCTTTTTTCCGTTCTGTAAACGGTTCCCGGCTCGGCTAGGTGTCCCGCACACCGCTGTGAACCGCGGATTATCCCACGGGACCGGGATCAGGGACCTCGTGGCCACGCGGTTTTGGAAAAAGTCCCGTATCTTCCCCGGTATTCGTCCTGGAATGTTGAGAGGGGGCTCAAAAGAAGGGCCTCCCCGAGCCGCACCCTCCCACAGGATAAAAAACAGGGGTTGTCACTCACTTTTTTAAAGTTGTTTGAGTTTTAAAATATACACTAACCTTAAAGTAAGTTTTTGGTCCGTAAAGTCCTGAAAAGTGGTCCAATTTCCACACAAATTTCACTACCGTGTTCGTCACTTCACTCCGCGTCTAACGATATGTGTCACTATCACTAATTAGCGCTAAATCAATGACCCCTCGGTCAATTGAAAAACACAAAGTGTCAAATATCTCTCTTGTCTTTCGCCACAAAATTATAAGAGGGGGCTCAAAAGATGGGCCTCCCCGAGCCGCACCCTCCCACAGTTGCGGAAACACAGGTCACCACTGAAAAACTCGAGAAAATCGAGTTTTTGTCACTGACACAAAACATAAAAATCACTGAAATCCTTATAAAATCCACAATTTTCGTCCTATCGCGACGCGGTTTTCACTGACGTGAAGGCCTCGCGATGGCGCTTCTCACGATATATAACACTGTACACTTTTTGAAACTTTTGAGGCTTCGGAGGAGAAGGAACGGGAAGCGGCGGAACGGCGCAAGTGCGGGTACACGCACAGCGCGGGCGCTCTGGAGCAGCGCGGCCAGCCGGTTCACGCAGCAAAGAGGTACCGGCCTAGGTTTCGGCGACGGTGCCGGGAGAATATCTCAATGCCAAGGGTGCGGGGGAGGGGGCAGCACAGCTACGACACGTGTCATTTCCGGAGCTACGTGTGCCGCGCTACACCTTCGCCGGGCGTGCCCGCAGCACTCTTGGCGCGATAATATCGGCGGTTATCCACTGCGGTACTTGGGCGAGGACTCCCACGAGGACGAGAAAGAGCAGCCCTACGAGGAGCAAATCCATCATCTGTGTCTGAACTTTGAGTTTTGCCAATACAAATCTATGAACAGATTTAAGAAATGGAGGTAGATACGGTGTAAGGTTGGGTGTCGAGAGAGAAATTAAAGATGTTGTTAGATCAACGATCAGATTTATTCTCCAGTAAATATAATAGTGATCACTACTTTTATCTTAAGATAGACATACGTATTATATATGTATTACTACACTACACCCCCCTTCTTTTAAAATAAAATAAAATAATACAACATATTTATTTTATTTTCATTATAAAAATTCCTTAGATCTAAAAACACACAATATTTATGGTAAATAAAAAGGAAAAACAAAATTAAAGGTTATAAAACTAGGTAAATATTACAAATTTAAGCTCTATACAATTTGGTTCTATTTTTGTGAACTGTTTCAATTTTATTATCTCTAATTATTTTAACATTTGGTGACACATCTTCTAAAACTTTAAAAGGACCAATATAAACATTCTCAAATTTATTGTAATTTTCATTGCGTAATAAAATTAAATCAATAGGTTCGTAAATAGTTGGATTTATTTGCTTATCGTATTTATATTTATATTACGTTTTCGGGCTACTTTTGACATTAACAAATTTTCCCTAGCTTGTACTTGAGATTTTTGAAGTCTATATTTCAAGGTTAATGGAAAATCATCACTATTGTAGAGAGGTTCAACTTGTTGAGACAAATTTGTAGGTAATTTACACAGTTTTCCAAACACTAATTCGTATGGCGTAAATTTTGTAGATGTGTGTACAGGAGTATTATAACTAAAAGGCCAATAGGGAACCCAGGTGCTCCACTCTCTAGAACTATTATTAGTCTGTATCCGAAGATAAGCATTTAAATTTTTATGTGCATTTTCAAGCGCACCTATAGATTCATGATGGTAAGCGGTTGAAAATAATTGTTGAACACCAAGTAATTTACAAACATCACTCATTGTTGATGCTATGAACTCCGAACCCTTATATGAAGATTATACCTGAGAATGAAGTTTTCTACGAAAGATTTTACTACGATGACAGCGTCCTTACGATGTAAAGGATATGCTTCTACGAACTAAGTAAGTTCGCACTGAATAGTTAAAATATATACCTTACCATAATAATCCTTATCTAGGGGCCCCACTAAATCTAAAAATATCTTATCAAATGCGCCTGCGGCAGTGCTAGTAACCACCATAGGCTCTTTAACGGGCAAATAATGTTTTTGCATTTGGCATTTCTTTCATTTAGCTACAAAAGCAGTAACGTCACGTTCCATTCCAGGCCAAAAATAAGATTTTTTGATGTTATTTAACATTCTTCTTATTCCGGCATGACCACTAGTTGGTAGGATAACAACATGAACAATCCTTCAAGCCGATTGACGAAATTTCGTTTACTTTTGGAAGAGTATGATTTTGTGATTGAGTATATAAAAGGTAAAGACAATGTTGCTGCAGACACATTATCTAGGATGCGAGTTACATCAGAAGAGTTGAAAGAAATGAGTGAACGGATAATTAATGTTATGACAAGAAATCAACGAAAGAAACTGGAAGGTCAGATAGTAATTCACCCAAAGGGGAATGCCCATTTTCGGCCATGAAATGCACAACAATTTGCTTTTTTTAAAAAAAAACGTCTTATTTTCTGTTTATTAATTGGGGTATTCATTTATCCTGACAGGTCTGCAACATTTAAACAGAAAATAAAAGTACCGAAAAGATAAAAGTGAAATTACGTTAATCCTTATTTCATTAGTTTCTGGCAAAATATTAAGTGTTCCCAATTACTAATTTCGTTCAAAAAATCGATTATTTATGAAGCGATTATTATTATTTATGATGTCGGCTGTGTTTGGCAGAAAATAGCGCTAGGAAGCGCTTGTAAGCAAAATGGCGATCGCTAAGCGGAAAGCGCTGTCAAATGACACATATATTTTTTTTTTACAGTTTAATTCTACTTTTAAAACAAACAAAATAAATAAGCAAAATGGCGGATTGTGTCAGCGCTACTGAAGTTAGAAAACGTGTCCTGGCCGAAAACTGTGTCAGCGCTAGTAAGCGCTTCCTAGCGCTATTTTCTGCCAAACACAGCCATTATTTTATAGCTATATTATTCGATTTTCGGTAATTATTATGATTTCATTGTGTTAGTGCTAATATTATTTATTTATTTATTGTTTATTTTAGGCATAATCGCCCATAAGGATGTAACAAAAGTTAAATTAATTTAAACTAATACACAAAAACTTCATACGCAAAACCCTTAAATTAATTATTCAGCAGATAAACACGGCGGAATACAACAGACACTAACTGATTACCATAATCAAGTCAGGAAAGATGCCTTGAGTCTTCTCAAGAGCCCGTAAAATAAATTAATAATATATTAATATTCCTTATTTCGTTAATGATTATGATGTTACGATAATAATATAAGCGAATTGCTAGTTGAATTACCATAAACTCTTTAAATCATAGCAAAGACGCTACTGTACAATTTAATTGTCATTCTTATCTGTTCTTAAAAATACTTTTAAGATATAATAAAATACATTAATATAGATAGATAGATATAATTAAAAAAAAACACTAAAAAGCGTACAGAATTTAAAGGCACCTCGTAGATTATTATTTCATATGAAATTATATTTTACAAATAATCGATAACCATTTCCGATTTTATGGCTGTTAAGTGGCAACATCGAATGCATTGAAACAGCAAGGACACAATCTGTCACCATTACGTGAAATCACAACTTCATTTGCATTTCTATTATTTGTTTGTTTTCTTACAATACAACTAATAAGCTTTCTAAATGGACTCCGACAATTTTTCTTACCCTACTGACCACGGCCTGAACATGGATCCCGCTCCCGCTTCTCACGATAACTCCCGCACGAACTTGGACTCAATATCCATTGAAAATGATGACCCCAGCTCTCACACTGGCCAGAGTTCTTCACAGCCCACAGTAACTCTTTCAAGAGGACATTCACGCTGTGTCAATTGTGGTATAAACGAAATAGAAGAAGTTCGAAATCTAATACAACAATGGGTTCGACCACAGCAGGTAAATAGTTAATGTAAATAGTAAATGCTTTTTAGCTGAGAGGACTTAAAATAATATCAATATCTAATAATAATGGCATCTTTATTATTAGGTTGGATTGCAGCCTGGAATGAAATACGAAATCCAACTAGTGAACAGCAGAATGCACCGATTGTTGGCCATGGACTTGTGTGCATCAGCTGTGGCAGGTCACTTTTGAGAATAAGATCACACTCACTCTGTTCTGATTCTCCACGTGAGGAACTCATAAGGAATGTGATTGTGCAACAGATTGCACCACGTGAGGTAAGTGTATAACAGTTTTTAATTTATGTGTATAAAATATTATTCGCTGATAATATAACTTCCATTGGTGAAAGAATTGTGTGATAGCGTAACAAACAAACAATCTCACTTTCACATTTAATATAAAGTATTGGTTATGGATTAGCCGCAAACTAGCTGGTGTGTTCACATCATTGCACTGGAATAAAAGTATATGATGTAAAAGTTTTTTCATGTTAACATATTTGTTTAGCCCAGTGGGCTGTATTGTTCTAACCATTTATCTAGTTTAATTTGATTTTGTTTACTTCATTTATGGTTTAATTATTGTTTCAGTTGCCATCATCATCTTGTGTGTGTCATAATTGCTGGCGAAGGACTGATAGAGCAGCATCACATTCAACTGTAGACCGTGAAACCTCCGAACCATCTAGTCTGTCCTCGTTGCAATCTGAAGTAGCTAGCGATGTATTGCATCCGGAACAACAAAGCTTAGATACATCAGACAGTATACTGCTGCCTAATTATGTAAGAGCACCAATTACAGAAAATCAATGTTTTTTTCCTGGTTGTAATGATTCCCATTGACTCACTGTTACATCGATATTGCGAGTACGTCTTTAAGAACAGGAGAATGATGAATGATTCTGGCAGGAGTGCAATCAAAAAGTATTGTTGTAACTGTATTGTTGGCCGTCGAACGGTAGGATGTTGTGCCCATATAATGACAGTAATATGGTATTTGGGTTGGGCACGACATCAAACAAATATTTTTCCTCCAGCTCAATTCCTGGATGATGTACTAATTGTGTATGACACAAATGATGTATGATCATAAAATACCTAAGAACTACATATAACTTGATATTGTATGTGAGAATAACAATAAAATGATGAATAAGAAAAAAAAACTGTAGTTATTTCTGAAAATTAAAATTATTTTATATCTTAAAAATCCCGACTTTTTTTAATACCAATTCCTTAAACATTTCATTCTTTAAATTGTATATTATCATTTCCATATGCTTTTATATGTGTGCACCTAGGGCCAAAGTGTCTATGGGTAGTGGGCATTCCCCTTTTGTAGATGTGTGTACAGGAGTATTATAACTAAAAGGCCAATAGGGAACCCAGGTGCTCCACTCTCTAGAACTATTATTAGTCTGTATCCGAAGATAAGCATTTAAATTTTTATGTGCATTTTCAAGCGCACCTATAGATTCATGATGGTAAGCGGTTGAAAATAATTGTTGAACACCAAGTAATTTACAAACATCACTCATTGTTGATGCTATGAACTCCGAACCCTTATATGAAGATTATACCTGAGAATGAAGTTTTCTACGAAAGATTTTACTACGATGACAGCGTCCTTACGATGTAAAGGATATGCTTCTACGAACTAAGTAAGTTCGCACTGAATAGTTAAAATATATACCTTACCATAATAATCCTTATCTAGGGGCCCCACTAAATCTAAAAATATCTTATCAAATGCGCCTGCGGCAGTGCTAGTAACCACCATAGGCTCTTTAACGGGCAAATAATGTTTTTGCATTTGGCATTTCTTTCATTTAGCTACAAAAGCAGTAACGTCACGTTCCATTCCAGGCCAAAAATAAGATTTTTTGATGTTATTTAACATTCTTCTTATTCCGGCATGACCACTAGTTGGTAGGATGTGATAGTCATTTATGATTACCTTTTTGTCATCATTAGAAATTATT